ATAAGATTTGCTGTAGGAGGGACACCTGGGTGACTTAGTCTGTTAAGTGGTTAAGCTAAGTGTGTCTGCCTTGGGCTCAGGTCATGATCTCAGGGCTCAGCAGGATGTCTGCTTCTCCTTCCCCCTGCCCTTGCGCTCTAGCTCACTCTCACTCTCTCTCCCTCTCAAATAAATAAATAAAATCTTAAAAAAAATATATGCTGTGGGGGTGACTGGGTGGTTCAGTCTCAGAAAAGCATCCAACTTTTGATCTTGCAGTATAAGGTTGAGCCCCATGTTGGGTACAGAGATTCCTCAAAAAATGAAAATCATTTAATAATAAGATTTGCTGTGAGATTAGAAACTAGCAAAATTGTCTCAATCACCAGGAGAGTTGAGAAAAAAGCTATGTGCTGTACACATGACACCCACATCTAATAAGTAAAGACTCAAAAGTGTGAACACAAGAGGAGAGGAAAAGACACCGGAAAACAGCACAAAGAAATCTAAGTTCAGCTACAACCACTAAACAGATTTTTGAGCCAAAAAGCACTGGGAGTAATAGTGTGTCATCCCAGATGAACAAGGAATAACCAGGATGACCAAACAATTCTAAACTTGGATGTACCTAACAACACAGTCTCCAAAGAAATAAAACCCAAATTAGCAGGATGAGGAGGAGAAACTGACAAATTCTAGAAGCACTGCGATATTTGAATATAAATTTCTCATTAATTCATCAAGCAGACAAAAAACTGTAAAGCTATGGAAAATTTGAACGAGTGGCACCTGACATTTTTCAACATTGAGGATTTTTTTGTTTTGTTTTGTTTTGTTACTCAGAGGTGGAAAATGTTTACAAGGTGATATGAGATGAAGATTGGCTGTTAATGGGATAAATATTTTATGACATGACTCAAATAGGCTTTAAGTACCTAAGAGAAAAATGCATACCAATTCTAACAGGGTTCATAAATTTTTACCTGGGTATTTTATCCAGTGTAACTTGAAAAACTTGTCCCTGAAAACATTGTGGTTGAATTTTAAATTAACTCCACTAAACTCTCATGCTGTGGTGGTTCTGAATACAAAATGTCCCAACAGGAACCTAGCATGACCTTAAATGAGTAGAATAGAAATACATTCCCATGCAGGAAGTTGTGTATACACACCCCACTTGGAAGACCTCTGCTACATAAAACAGGTCCTATATACCAGAATACATTTCTTACCTTCTTGGAAGTCAGGAAGTTTAGGGATTGCCTTAGAGTGAACACAAAATCTGACCTGGAGCAGGTATTTCTGAAGCTAACAGATCCAGCTTGAAAGATAATTCCCGGATGAAAAGGAAAATTGGTTCCATTCCTAAAGAAGAAACTCTTTCTTTTCTTTTCTTTCTTTCTTTCTTTCTTTCTTTCTTTCTTTCTTTCTTTCTTTCTTTCTTTCTTTCTTTTCTTTCTCTCTTTTCTCTCCTTTCTTTCCCTTCCTTCCTTCCTTCCTTCCTTCCTTCCTTCCTTCCTTCCTTCCTTCCTTCCTTCCTTCCTTCCTTCCTTCCTGTTTTTGATTTTGTTTATTTCAGAGAGAGAGAGCACACATGAGGAAGGGAGGGGCAGAGGGAGAAGCAGACTCCCTGCTGAACAGAGAGCCGGACATAGGACTCAATCCTAGGACCCTGGATCATGACTTGAGCTGAAGGCAGATGCCTAAACCGACTGAGCCACCCAGATGCTCCAAGAAACACATTTCTATTATTAGAGTTTCTTTGGAATGAGGGGCTTCTAGATGGTTTGGTTTCAACGCCTTCCCTCTTGTTGGCAGTGTATTTTCATTCTGGAGAGTATGGACCTTGGAGGGCCAGTAGTGTATGGCAGGTCAGCCAAAGATCCCCTGTGCTTCTACCTTTCCCTTTTCATGAAAAGAGACCTAATGAGCCACAGTTGGGGCAGAAGATGCTAGGCATTGTCATCCTCAAACCACTGCCACCCTTAGTCTGACTCAGAAGACAGAGCTGGAGTGCAGGCATGTGTCAGGAACCCACCAGGAGGAACAGACAGCTTCCTAGGGGGATCCATGGGGAGACTCCTTGGGGAGACTCTGGGTCTCTGAGGTCATGTAGGCTCTTAAGGGATGTACACATACCACACGGCAGTCAGAAAAATATTGCTTTCCCCAAATGAAAATATAACTTATTATGAGACTTGGAAACATGTCAGTTGGAAAATGTGGGTGTACTAATTTGAATCTTGTAACATGCATGGGAGTTCCTGCTACTTTAAAATGTCGGGCTTTTTTTTTTTTCTTGAAATCTTAAGTAACTTTGGGAAACAATATGCAATTGATTTTATCCTACCTTGCTCACCTTTCAACAGTAGTGAAATGGACTCTATTTTTTGAGGGAGTAACAGGAACACACTTATACTTCTATACCTACAGTCACATGATTATGCTTCCCCCAATTTCTTTTTTCAAATCATTGTTCATAATTAAATTTTCTCCACCAGGAGCCCAAATGACAGTAACACTGTGTCTTAAGTCATAACCCCTGTATTTGCAATAGGGATCAATGATAAAATAAGGAATCAGAAGATAATTGCTTTGTTGCAGTCTACAAAACGTGCCTGTCACATTTCCTGTGAAATCAGAGGGGTTCTTTTTACTGGGCTCTCCAGGAGACAAACCACACTTTCCATAGTAGCCCTTCCTGTCCTGCACCAGGAGAAAGAAGTCTGGACACTGGGTGTCTTAACACTGGGTGATGTGTGTCCAACACATTCCCTTTGTTGGTGGCTCCACAGAAACCAACAGATGCCGCCGACTCCTGTGTGAAGAATCATGCTCCTGAGCACACATATGCTATGGAAGGCTCCTTGCTCCTCCAAGCTGCCGAGGAAGGGGAAATAGAGTCACCATCGAGGTTCTGCTGGCACCTTCCAAATGTTTACAGAGCAGCTGGACCCTGGCTGGGGTGGCCGACTCAGGAACGATCCACACTTGTAGCATTCACCACTGGGAAATAGGGATTAGTATGAGCCCTGCTGTTCTCATCAAATACATTCATAAATTGCTGCTGCGCCAACTCTACCAGGACCTTTCAAAGACTGGTTTTTGGTCCCAAAGTGCATACCAAGTCCAGCTGAGCTCCCTGAGATATACTTTTTAAAAATATTTTATTTATTCATGAGAGACAGAGAGAGAAAGAGAGAGAGGCAGAGACCCAGGCAGAGGGAGAAGCAGGCTCCATGCAAGGAGCCCAATGTGGGACTCGATTCTGGGACTCCAGGATTATGTCCTGGGCCAAAGGGAGGCGCCCAACCGCTGAGCCATCCAGGGGTTCCCCCCGAAACATACTCGACAATCCGTTTTCTGCTGTGTGTGTGAACAGGGTGCATTTCTACCATATGTGGGGGTTTCTTCTCATTTTGATGAAAAGAGGGGCATCTGAATTTGAAATGTCACTCAAAAGTCTGTGTGGTATTCTATGAAATAGCGCTCCTTTGTGATCTGGCTTTTCAGCTGAAAAGCTGAGAGACATTCTACCTTCAGGTAGTTTTTTCTTATTCCTGCCTCACAGCAGAGAATTTGCTACTGAAATTGGGATTCACGTCTCCATGCTCCAAAATTGAAGGGTTTTCTGTCCCCAGTCCCATACTGTCTTGTCCCACATTTGAGATGTAATACTGAGCCTATTTCTGTAATGAGATAGTTTTCTGGTTTGTCTGAAAATTCGCTCACCAATTTAGTGACGAGGCCTCCAGCCTGTGTATGACTGTTCAGTGTCCTTTGATTCTCCCCTTGCCTACCTCACGGCCTTTCCACCTGCTCTTCCCTCTGCCCAGCCACCCAGAAAAGAGATAGCCTCCCTCTGTTTCTTTCCTTTCCATCCATTTCCTCTCCACCCCTTTCAATGTGTAGGTTTTTATTGCTCTCTGAAATGACCTGTTTTCTTGCCTGTCCTTCCCACCAGAATGAGGGTTTCCTGGGGAGTAGAGGTTTCTATTGGTTTTGCTTGTGGCAGCTTCGATGGTTTGCTCAATAATCCTGGCACAGAAGTGGTTCTTAGTAACTAGAGATGAACAAACACTCAGCCCTGGTGCTGGGTGATGCTGGGGACCCAGGGCTGAGCTGGGCCGAGGCCTGCCCCATTCCCAGGTGGGTGAGGGAGGGAGATGAGGGAGGAAGATCTGGACACAGATCATTCCTGGTCTGGTGGCAGAACAGTGATAGCAGAGATACAGGAGACCAGGAGAGCTGATGCAGAGAGGGGAGGATGTGGAGAAGGCTTCCCAGTGAGGGGCTCTGGCAGTGGCTGAGCATGAGCAGGAGTCTATCAGGTGGTGAGTCATTCATTCACTCACTCATCCTGTGCTCGGAAATGCCGGGGACCCAGAGATGAGTCAGTCCTGAACCCTGTTCTCTGCAAACTCCTACTCTGATGGGGGCGGTTGACAGGACAGCCACAAACCAGGATGATCAGACCATGGTGGAGACGTATAGAGGCTGCATAAGCCTCTAGGAGCTACCAGGTGCTCATTACAGGAAAGAGAAGGGCACCCAGAATAAATGGGAGTCAGGTCCCTTTCATACAGGGTGCTGGAAATATGAGCAGACCTGGCACAATCTGGAATAATGTGCAGCCGGGTCACATTGCACACTGCACATCCTAGCGCAACAACCCAGTGAGCCCGAACCCGCTGTAGGTCCCATTTCATAGACAAGGACATTGAGCCTTAGAAAGATTGAGTTGCTCACCCAGGGGAGCAACCAGCCAGGGTCCACTGTGATCATGGGGCTTTGAGGGGACCAGGCAGGAAGAGATGAGGCTGCAGATGTGCCCGAGTCAGGTTCTTCATGCAGGTGGCACAGCCTTGAGCAGCCTCGCTGTTCTCTCACCCTGACCTCCCTTCCCCTGTGCAAAGACAGTCAGGGAGGGGGTGGGTGAAGGGCCCTGGGACTGAGCTACATGGAGCAAAAGTGAGGGGTTTGCAAGATGGAAAGAATGACCTTCTGTTTCCTTCCCCAGCATGGAACAACAGAGGGGGCTCCTGTTATTATTTCTGGGGGTACAGCTGCTGCTTATGGGGGCATTCTTCTACCAGAACCGCCACCGCCACAGCTTCACCTCCTTCTTGCGTGTCCTGATACAGGACAGGCCAACGGTGGGAGAAGAGTTGCCCTTTCTGGTCTCGGTCTCTGCTGCGCAGACCTCTTCCCAGGACGTGTACACCAACCTCAGCCAGATCCACCCTGTGGGCATTAGTGAAGAGGACCTGCCTAGCTGCCCCCTCATCTCACCTTACATCTGTAAGCTTGTCAGAATATCCTGTCCCCTGAACCCTGCCTCAGGTTTTGGGGAGCTAGAAAGACTCCTTTGGGGGGGGGTAGGGGAGGATCTAGAAGCAGCAGGCCTGGCACTGATGACCCAAGGGTGACAGCATGTGTGCTAGTCATCTGTGGCTGCATCATAACGAACCACCCCAGAATTCTGTCTTTAAACAGTCATCAACTCTTTTTTAATTATTATTATTTTTAAAGATTTTATTTATTTATTCATGAGAGCCACAGAGAGAAAGGCAGAGACATAGGTAGAGGGAGAAGCAGGCTCCCTAAGGGGAGCCTGATGCGGGACTCGACCCCAGAACCCTGGGATCACAACCTGAGCCAAAGGCAGATGCTCAACCACTGAGCCTCCCAGGTGCCCAACAGTCGTCAACTCTTAATGTGTATCTGGGTGGGGAGTTTTGGGAAGGGCCCAGTTGGGCAGTCGTGGTCCAGGTTTTTCACACAGTTGCAGTGAGATATGGCTGGAGCTAAAAAAGCAGGGGGTGGAAGCACTCCCACTCTCTGTACATGATCTTAGAGCCTCCGCAGAGCCCTCCCAGGGGGCTCGTTTGGGCTTCCTAACAGTATGGTGGCCTGAGAGCTTAGCCGGCAACTGCTAGCTTCAAGAGCAAGTGTTCACATAAAGCAGGCAGAAGCCATTTGGCCTTCTCTGATCTGGTCCCAAAAGCCATGTAGTGTCACTTCTGCCATACTCCATTCATTGAAACTGTTATAAAAGCCCACCCAATTTTAAGGAGTGGGGACATACACTCACCTCTCCATGGGAGGAGTATCAAAGTCATGTTGTAAGAGGGGCATTTGGGTAAAGAGATACTGTTGTGGCATCTTTGGAAAAAATATGTTCTGCTACAGAAAGGGGGAGGAGCCACAGCTGGGGCTGGGTGGGTGTGGAGTGGGGCCCTCGGAAGAAGGTGCTGGAAGGAGCAGTCTGAGGTGCAGGGAGAGTGGGTGGCCTGAGAACCACCCCAGGGGAAACACCCTTAAAACAACAGAGAGGTATTCTCCCATAGTTCTGGAAGCCAGAAGTCCAAAATCATGGTGTTGACAGTGTTGGTTCTTTCCGGATGTTCTGGAGAGAGAAACCATCCTATGCCTCTCTCTCTCCTAGTTTCTGGTGGTTGTTAGCAATCCTTGGCTTTCCTTGGCTTAGAGGCACATCACTTTAATTTCTGCCTCCATGGCCACCTTCTCTCTGGGTCTTCACATGACCTTCTTATAAGGACACCAGTTGTTGCATTTAGGGCCCACCCAAATTCAACACTTCCACATTTTAATCACTTACATCTGCATAGACTTATTCCCAAGTTAAGGTCACATTCTGAAGGCTGGTGGACATGGTTGGGGGGGGGACATGATGGAACCCAGTACAACTGGGTTGTGGGGTTTCTAGGGGATCCCCTTGACCATCCATGGTACTTACCTCTCTCAGATGGCCCCTTGAAGGTGATGATCCCAGAGAACCTGACAATGGAGCAGGTGGTGGAAAAGAACCCGCTGGTGGAGCTGGGGGGCCAGTACCGGCCACCTGACTGCTGGACACGTCACCACACAGCAGTAGTGGTGCCCTACTATGGGCAAGTCCAACATCTCCAGCACCTGCTCTTCCATCTGCACCCCTTCCTACAGCGCCAGCAACTGCACTATGCCATCTATGTGGTGAACCAGGTGCATCTGGGGTGGGGAGGGGCAGAGGCAAAAAGACCCACAAGGTGGGTCTCCAAGCACAGCTGTGGAGAGTCACGTCAGCATTTGGGCCAGAGAGTGGCTGGTTGGGGGCTGGATTTATGAGTCAAGAAGATCTTGGGGGAAATTAGAGCTGGGGTTATAGGTTTGGTCTAGACTGGCTGAGTCTGGGGTTAGCTCAAGTGGCTGTCTGGAAGACTCAGTCCCACCGAGTCTAGACCTCCCTGAAACCAGGGCTGGCCAGGCTGGGCAATGAAGCTAAGTGGTAATTTAAAGCACTGGGTTTAGGATCCGTTTGGATGCTTGTTTGAATCTCAGTCTTGCCTATTACTACCTGTGTGGTCAGAGTGTGGGACCATCATCCATCCATCCATCCATCCCATTGTCACTCATAACTATGGATAAACTTGGGGAACTCAGTGTTATGGTTTTTTCATTCATGAGACAGGGATGATAGTAACACTTCCATCGCTAGGTTGTGGGAAGCATTGAGTTAATGACTAAAGCAGTGAGGTCAAGGCCTGGTACATAGTAGGTACTTAGTGATATAGCTAATGATGATGGTGATGATGATGATGGCAATGATGGTTTTGATGGTGGTGAGGAGGATGTTGATGTGGTGAGTGATGGAGGTGATATGAGGTTGTGTTGATGGCCTTGGAGATGCTGAAGATGATGGTGCTCATGCTGGCAATGAACATAATAGCAAGTGTTGATGGTAACAAGGTGGTGATGAAGGAGAACATGATGATGGAGGAAGAGGAGGGAGAGGCAAACCCTGTCATGGTTTCTGAGCATCAGATCCATTCTTTGGTAGGGGCAGAAACAGATGTAGGTGGTCCCTGCTCACCCTAACCCCTGCCTATTGAAGGGGGGTTTATGGTCTCTTGAAGGAGTTAATCCTTGAGAATCCTGCAAATGGTTGTGGACAGAGCTGAGGGGCTGGAGATACAGACTCTGCCTAGGATGGGGGTGGGAATCCAGGAAAAGTCTTCCAGGAGAAGTAAACTTTGAACTGTGCCCTTGTGGATAGGTCTGGGTTTTGCAGCTCCAGTGGGAATAGGGCCCAGGCAGGAGAATGGCACTGGAAAGGGGGAGCAGATGGGCCTGACAGGTGGGGGAACACTCCTGCCCACTGGTGAGTGAGCATGGAGCATCTCTGTCTATCCCAGGTACACACCACTGCTTTCAACCGGGGCAAGCTACGCAATGTGGGGTTCTGGGAGGCCATGCAGGAGGAGGAATGGGACTGTGTCTTCTTCCATGATGTGAACCTCCTCCCAGAGGATGACCGCAACCTTTACATCTGTGACATCTTCCCAGCCCATGTGTCTGTGGCCATTGACAAGTTCAACTACAAGTAGGTGGAAGGAGGGGGCCTCCTGGGGGAAACCATAGGCAGACCCTGTGCTTCCCTGGACTTCACCCTGCCCATCTATAGGGTCTAAGCCTCGATCCCTGGAACTCAGGTGGAGAAGAATGATGGGGCCCAAGGAAAAGTCTTGTAGACAGGGAAGAAACTTCCTTTTAGATGTGGGTGTTAAGGGTGGAGGTCAGTGACAGGGTCATGGTGGAGGTCAGAGAAGGAGAATGTGTGAAAGAAGGGGCTGACTAGGGGACAGGAGAGGGTTATCTTAGGGTCTGAGGAGAAAGGGCCATTGAGGGGTCACAAGGTGGGCCTGTCAGATGATTTAGGGGAGGAGATATCCCAGGTCAAGTGAGGGCCCACTTCAGGGGGCAGAGGAAGGGTTACTCCAAGATCAGGGAAGGGAGTACCTGCGGGGTTAGGGGAGAGGTGATCACAGGGGTGAGTTGGGAAGGGTAAACTCAGAAATAAAGCTTGGAGATCCTGGCCAGGACCCCTGTTGCCTGAAACTCCTTGTTCCCAACTCTCTCTGCCTCTCCAGGCTACCCTACCACGGCTACCTTGGGGGCGTGTTTGCTCTGCGCCCCACTCACTACCTGAGGATAAACGGCTTCCCCAACTCGTACTGGTACTGGGATCATGAGGACCATGACATCGCTGCTAGGTGGGGGGCCCTGCTTGAGGGGCGCTGCTTGACCCTAGCATGGGGCTGCAGGTCCCTCCATGGTGTGGGAGACACTGGCCGCCATGGCCTGAAGGGCTCGGTATGGCATAGGGATCCTATCAGAGTCAGGCTTCTGGCTTCCCTGCCCTCTCCCTTGTAAGGCTGCAACTGAGCGGGATGCTACTCTCACGACCCCATCTGCTCTTTGGCCGCTACCACATGCTAGAGGGGCAGGATCCCAGCCACCAGCAAAGCCCTCAGAGGTAAGTTGGGGTTGGAGGTAGGATGTCCCACCTTGGGCAGTCACTAAGTCCTGGGCTCACGTAGCTGCCCCTGCCTCCAGCCCTGGCCTTCTGGCCTCAATCCACCACAAATGGCAGCAGGATGGCATGAACTCGCTGGGCTACAGGCGGCTCTCCAAGGAGCTGCAGCCCCTCTACACCAACCTCACCGTGGACATCAACTTCCCAACTTCCCAGCCCTAGCAGGCCCAGTGCCAAGCTGAGGGGGAGCTGGAGGCTGGAACAGAATCCCCAAGACCAGGGCTGTAGGGCAGTCCTCCCAACTGGTTTCTTATTAAAGTTTATTTTACTCACTTCTGTCAACCTTTATCTCCACCCCTTTCATTTTCGCACATTCATTCAAAGTCCCACTCATTTTCCCTGGTTCTCTCCAAGTGTGCAGCACACACCTGCCTACCCATTCATTTCTCACAAAAACTTCTGCGATAGGCACTGCTGGCATCGTCCTGTGAGGATGGTTGAACAATGTTCATCCAACAGAATACCATGCAACCAGATGCAGCACGAAAAGAACAAGGTACACGTGTATGGTATGATCTGCTATTTATTTTTTAAAAATATGAGAGAGAGAGAGAGAGACATAGGCAGAGGGAGAAGCAGGCTCTTCACAGGAGCCTGATGTGGGACTCAATCCCAGATCCCAAGATCATGACCTGAGCCAAAGGCAGCAACACAACTGCTGAGCCACCTAGGTGTCCCTGCTATTCATTTTTTAAAAGATTTTAATTATTTGGCATAGAGAACAAGCAGGAAGCCTGATGCAGGGCTCAACCCCAGGAACCCAGGGTTCATGGTCTGAGCAGAAGGCAGATGCTTAACTGACTGAGCAACCCAGGCACTCTGATCTGATATTTATAAAACAGAGTTCCAACACAGGTATAGGATTATGAGTGAGTACTGAATGTGGATGTCAGATACTAATAATCTTCTATAAAAGGCCAGATACAATTTTCGTCTTGCAAGTCACTGAAGCACAGGAAGAGTCACAGACTGTACATAAACACACGAACGTGGCTGTGTCCAGTAAAACTATTTAAAAAGAACAGGTGACCAACCCTATTTGGCTGATGGCCAGTCTGTCGACTCCCAGAGTAAATGATCAGGAGCCTGTGTAAAAATGTTTAAAGTCCATACTAAAAAAGGTTGACCACTGGTTATTTATGGAGACATTCACCAGAGATGGGGGAGGTTGAAAGAGGGCAGGGTAGAGCAGAGATGGTCAGAGAAAAGATGTACTGTGAAGACCAGTATACATCACAAAATCACACTTATGCATTTACCAAGTGTATATTCACCTGTTGAGACAGGCATACCTTGGAGATACTTGGGTTGGGTCTCAGACCACTGTGGTAAACCAAATGTTGCAATAAAGGAAGTCAAATGAATTTTTTGGTTTCCCAGTGCATGTGGACGTCATGTTGGCACTACACTGTAGTCTATGAAGTATGCAATAGTGTCACGCCTAAAAAAGAGTGCATACTTCTATTAAAAAACTTTCTTGCTAAAAAATGCCAGCCATCATCTGAGTTTTCAGTGAGTTGTAATCACTGATCACAAAGAACCACGACAAATAATGAAAAATTTGGAAATAGTCCAAGAATAACCAACATGTGACAGAAACATGATGGGAGCAAATACTGTTGGAAAAATGGTACTGCCCAATGCAGGGCTGCCACAAACCTTCAATTTGTAAAAACACAGTATCTGCAAAGCATGATAAAATGAGGTAGCTATGCCTGTGTATGTATAAAGAAATTAAATAATTACTGTGCAACCTCAGGATATATTCAATTGGGAATAAATCGGATAAACACAATCACAGCAGATCCTTTAAAAAAGTGTATCATCTCCCCACAATTCTGCTACGCAGTGAATCCTATAGCAAACACTACAGAACTCACAAAGTGTTATGTAGGTGTATATACCTGACCATGTGAACACACACACACATACACACACCTGTCTGGTCATTCAGTTTGCTGGTACTTTGAAATTACTGATATTCCATATTCAATAGGGTTATCATTAATATAACCTCATAAATTTTCCTATAATCTGGCAAAAGTCTGTCTCACTACTTTCTAGAGAAATACGTTTCTCAATGTGTTAGGTGGGGGTTTCTTCCCAGATGAATTTTACAATCCTTAACAAGGCTTGTACAAATATCCTTTTGTTTTCTGAGTAATTTCTTACACATGAAATAATGTGTCACTTTGCAACAGGCAGTGCATTCCTGGAGTTTTTCATGGATTCTATAACCTGCAATTGAATCCAATGCTTGGGAGATATTTTTCTTTGAGAAATTTGGGGTTTCATTTATGTATATGCTGATGCATATTAGGAAGTGATTTCTGGGTAAAGCCTTTTTTCACAATAACTGCTTTAATAAGACCTGCCTCTAGTATGAGTCGTTTGGTGTTTATTAAAATTGGATCTGTTGTTGAAGGCCTTCCCACACTGTGAACATACATAGGGCATCTCTCCTGTGTGAATCCGCTGATGCACTTGGAGCTGTGGTTTCTTGCTGAAGGATTTCCCACAGTCACAGCATTCATAAGGCTTCTCTCCAGCATGAGTTCTCTGATGTGCCATCAACTCTGATTTCTGGACAAAGGCGTTCCCACATTTGTAACAGGCAAAAGTTTTCTCTCTCATGTGTGTCATCTGATGTTTGTGGAAATTTGACCTGCCATTGAAAGCCTTTCCACAATCAGAGCATACGTAGGGTTTCTCTCCGGTGTGAATTCGCTGATGCTCCTTGAACTGTGATTTGGAAGTGAAAGCTTTCCCACAGTCACTGCATTTGTAAGGTTTCTCCCCAGTGTGAGTTCTTTGATGCATGCTGAGTATGGACTTTTGGTTGAAAGCTTTCCCACAGTCCCTGCATACATGTTGCCTCTCTCCCGTGTGAATTTTCTGGTGGATATTGAGGTGTGACTTTTGGGTGAAGGCTTTCCCACAGTCACTACATTCGTAAGGCTTCTCCCCAGTATGAATTCGGTGATGTATATCAAGTTGTGACTTGGAGATGAAGGATTTCCCACAGCTGTGGCATGGGTAAGGTTTCTCTCCAGTATGGCCTCTCTGATGTACAGTCAGGTGTGCCTTCTGGACAAAGGCCTGCCCACACTCAATGCAAACATAGGACTTCTCCCCTGAGTGGATTCTCTGGTGCAAGCTGAGTGTTGACTTCTGAGTGAAGGCCTTCCCACATTCACTGCATGTGTACTGCCGCTCACCCGTATGAATCTTCTGATGTATGGTGAGGGTTGAATTCTGGGAGAAGCCTTTCCCACATTCACTGCATTCATAGAGTTTCTCACTAGAGTGAGTCCTCTGATGTCTGAAGAGGGATAACATCTGGAAAAAAGCTTTCCCACATTCGTGGCATTTATGGGGCTTCTTTCTAGTGTGAGTTTTCTGGTGACTAATCAGTTCTGATCTCTGAATGAAGACCTTCCCACATTCCTTACAGATGTAAGGAATGCTACCTGTGTGATCTGTCAGATACACACCAAGCTTTGGTTGTGGGGTGAAGCCTTTAGTGCATTTGCCACACTCTTGGAGGTTTTCTACACTATGGAATCTCTGTTGCTCAAGAGGTGGCTTCTGGGGGAAGCCCCTCCCATATTCAGCACATTTATCAGGTTTCTCCTGATTACGAATTTGATGTTGGCTATGCGACTGTTTATGGCTGAAGTCTTTTGTACATTGATTCCCTTCACAGAAGTTCTCTCCTGGATGAATATGCTTGCAGCCAGCACTGGAAGAGCTATGGGTGAAGAGATGGACAGGGCCAACAAGCTCATTGAGGTGTTTTGTGCTGTCACTTTGACTCTGATGATTTACTTCTAGGTTAGGCTTCAAACTTTTTGCAAATGAGCAATGTTTATGAGATCTTTTTTGTGAAGAAACAAGGTAGGGCTTCAAATGAATGATTTTTCTGGGGTCCTTACATTCACAGTCTCTCCCTGTATCCAGTGTTTTCCTGTTGAGGAAAGCCCCATGCTGTGCAGGATTATTTTGCTTCTGCTGATCCCTCACTGCATGGCTGGCATCTTCCCGCAGGTCTTCTGAAATGCAACACCAGGAACTGTCTCTTATGACTTCATTGTGAAATAAAAATTTTTCAAACATTTTGTGTTGGGAAGTTTTAAGCCCAAATGCCCTTTCTGGAAAGAAAAAAAGAAGATGAAAGAGACACAAGTTAGCAGAGGATGAAGGAGAATAGGAGCAGACTGAGGCTGAACACAAATTGTTGTGTCATGATAAAAACGATGGCAGCGATGATGGCAATGATGAGAGGAAAGAGCCGCCCTGCCTTAGTTACTTGTCACCTGTCTGCATACAGCACAGAGCATGTGCCAGTGTTCTACATAGTGCACATGGAAAATCATTTAAATCCCCACTAACCCTGCAGGAGGTAACTGTGCTTACTCTACCTGTTTCACAGATGAATAGGAGGCACAAAATAGCTAAGTAATTGACCAAGATCATCCCACGGAACTCTGGGGAAAATGAGATTAGAACACAGGCAAGGTGGCTCCACTTACGCAAACACACGGTCTAGATCCTGTAGATACACATGCGTATAGGACGATGACAGAAAATACAGACAAGTGTGACAGGGCACCATCTGGGAACAGCCAAGGCTCGAAGGAGGGACTCAGAGGATAGCTCTTCATTAGCTTTCAGATCTAAATTGTCACTAACCTCCCAGTTTCCTCTCCCAAATCCATCTGTCCTATAAATCCTCTGGAAAAGTAAGAAAGCACCAACCCTGACATGGCCAAGCAGTGAAAGTGAACCTATGCCCAAACTCAACTCTCCAGGAAGCTGAAATTTGTCTGCTTGAATATAAACTTACAGCCTGGTTCTCACAGCCATTGCAGTACACTGAGCTCCATAGAGACAAGTGAGAGCCAGATGGGCACTGGGCGACACTGTGCCTCGCTAAGGAAAATCATTAAACATGAGCAAACAAATAAAAAAAAATAAACATGAGCAAAAAATAAATAAATAAATAAACAAACAAACAAACATGAGCAAAGGAGATCCTAAGAAGCCGAGAGGCAAAATGTCATCATATGCATTCTTTGTGCAAACTTGCTGAGAGAAGCAAAAGAAGAAGCACCCGGATGCTTCAGTCAACTTCTCAGAGTTTTCTAAGAAATGCTCAGAAAGGTTGAAGACCACATCTGCTAAAGAGAAAGGAAAATTTGAAGACCTGGCTAAGGTGGACAAGGCCCATTATGAAAGAGAAATGCAAACTTCTATCCCCCCTAAAGGGGAAACAAAAAAGAAGCTCAAGGATCCCAATGTACCCAAGAGGCCTCCCTCGGCCTTTTTCTTGTTTTGTTCTGAGTATCGCCCAAGAATTAAAGGAGAGCAACCCGGCCTATCCACTGGTGACGTTGCAAAGAAACTGGGGGAAGATGTGGAATAACACTGCTGCAGATGACAAGCAGCCTTATGAAAAGAAGGCTGCTAAGCTGAAGGAAAAATATGAAAAGGATATTGCTGCATACCAAGCTAAAGGAAAGCCTGATGTGGCAAAAAAAGGGAGTTGTCAAGGCTGAAAAGAGCAAGAAAAAGAAGGAAGACGAGGAAGATGAAGAGGATGAGGAGGAAGAAGATTAAGAAGATGATGATGAATAAGATGGTTCTAGTGCAGTTTTTTTCTTGTCTATAAAGCATTTAACCCCCCTGTACACGACTCACTCCTTTTAAAGAAAAAAATTGAAATGTAAGGCTGTGTAAGATTTGTTTTTAAATTATACCGTGTCTTTCTTTGTATAGTTAACACACTACCGAATGTGTCTTTAGATAGCTCTGTCCTTGTGGCATTTTCAGTAGCCACTAACCTTGCCGGGTACAGTATGGGGGTTGTAAATTGGCATGGAAATTTAAAGCAGGTTCTTGTTGGTGCACAGCACAAATTATATATGGGGATGGTAGTTTTTCATCTTTAGTTGTCTCTGATGCAGCTTCTACGAAATAATTGTTATTCTGTTAACTGAATACCACTCTGTAATTGCAAAAAAAAAAAAGTTGCAGCTGTTTTGTTGACATTCTGAATGCTTCTAAGTAAATACAGTTTTTTAAATTAAAAACAAGTTAATAAACAAACTTACAACCCTAGAGAAGTACATTGGAAGTGTGGACAAGCAAGCTGTCCCCTGAAATTTGTGTCACTCTCTTCCACAGAAGTTAACTGTGGTCAGGAACATGGCTGCCAAGCTATATAACAGTTCCCAATGTCCTTTGCAATGAGGTGTTGATGGATAGACCATTGTTGTTGATGGAATATGGATACATTATGTACCACTTCTGGCCTGGGTGATAAGACCACAGCTTCTCAAAACCCTCCACACCTTTTCTGCCTACTAGAACCTGCTTTGGATGTTGTGCACAGTTGGTAGTATCATAAAGCATAGGCAACAACACCAACAGAAAAACTTAGACATCTGAAGAATATAAGAAGTGAGGCTTCCTACTGACCTACCTGCCTTCTACAGGAGAGAAATTATTCTAGAAATTACTACACTGAACCTTGGTCTCTTTGAATAACTTTCAGCCTTATACTACCTAATATACCATTTTTTCTCCACCAAGAATGGGAGTCATTGATCAACAAATTTAGTAGTATAAAACACAAGATACAACAGATGCTAAAAAGAAAAAGGGGGACGTGGCTGGCTTAGTCAGTAGAGCACACAACTCTTGATCTTGGGGTTGTGAGTTTGAGCCCCATGTTTGGTGATTACTTAAAAACAAAATCTTTTTTAAAAATTGTGGTTAAAAAAAAGTAATATAAAATTTACCATCTCTACCATTTCTTAAAAATTGTTCTTATTTTAAGTACACTCATGTCCAGCATTGGGCTTGAACTGAGGACCCTGAGATCAAGAGTTGCATGCTCCTCTGACCAAGCTAGCCAGGGCTCTCCCCCCGCCATACCCCCCGCCCTCCCGCCTCTCCCACCATCTCAACCATTTCTAAGTGTTAGGCACATTCCCAGTGTTGTGTAGCCAATTTCCAGTTGAAAAACTGAAGTGATGCCCCTGAAACAGCAGCTCCCCCTCGTCCTCTCCCCTCTGGCAACCACCATTTTACTTTGTCTCTGTGAATAGTAATACTCTCTAGATACCTCCTACTGTAAGTGGAATTGGAGACTATTTGTCTTTTTGTGAGTGGTTTATTTCACTTATAATGTCCTCAAGGATCACCTATATAATATCATGTGTTATTTACCTTTCTTTTTAAGGCTGAGTAATATTCCATGGTGTATATAGAACAGACTTTGTTTATCCATTCACCTATCAATGAACAACTGTATTGCACCCATGTCTTAGCCATCATGAATAGTGCTATGAACACAGGTATGTATCACTTCAGGATCCTGTTTTTTTTAAGATTTTATTTATTTATTCATGAGAGACACACACACACAGAGACGCAGAAACACAGGCAGAGGGAGAAGCAGGCTCCATGCAGGGAGCCCAATGTGGGACTCGATCCTGGGTCTCCAGGATCATGCTCTGGGCTGAAGGCGGCACCAAACCGCTGAGCCACCTGGGCTGCCCAGGATCCTGTTTTTTATTCTCCTGAATATATACATATACACAAAAGAGGAATTAATTGCTGGATCATATGGTAATTCTACATTTAATTTTTTGAGGAATCACCATACTGTCTTCCAGGATGGCTGCACCATTTTACATTCCCACAAACAGTGCACAGGAATCACTAACTTGCCAACACTTATTATTTTTTTTTTTTGCCAGTAGCCACTCTAATGAGCTGATTTTCACATTGTGGTTTTGCTTTGCATTTCCCTAATGTTGAACATCTCTTCAAATACTTGTTGGCCATTTATATATCATCTTTGGAGAAATGTCCATTCAAGTCCTTTACCTTATTTTTTTAATCAGGTTATTTGTTGTTTCATTTTTCACTCATATAGCAATTTTACCCAAACACTGGCTTTTATTTTTTTCTGAAAATCTTATACTGAGTTCCCAGGCATGCATATGGAACATTTTAAACTCCCACTGCTGAAGATGTTCAATGTAAAATAACAGAACTATGCTGAAAGGCTTATCCTTAATTCTCCAACACAGTTAGCTAAACAATGCTGCTTTCAAAAAAGCCCAATTTATTCCCCAGCCCAAGCAATACTCATGACTTCTACCCTCATTCAGCTTTTTCTGCCTGTTCCTTTGCTCCAGCTCATAACTGCTATGTGGAACAGCTACAAGTACCATATCCTTCACATCACCCCCAGTGCTGCTCCTCCTCTGGGCTGATGACATCCCCTCTGACCTTCACAAGCACTCCCTACATCCCTTATTCTGATACTTATTTCTTGAGTAGCCTTCCATTAAATACATAAGATTAATGCCAAAGGCTAACGGTTTTAACACCTCATGCCATTACCCAATCTAATGACAATCTCTGTGCCTTTGAATTTACCTTAATAGATTTTACAGTTTTCTTAGTATATATTGTCTTCACTTATGTATATCATACATATGTCTCTGCAGTAAACATGGAAGAAAATAGGAACCCAATGGAATAGAGCACAAATGACAGAACTCTTCAAATACATTTAAAATTAGAAATGTGTGGCCATGATGCTAATGTTACTGGAAAGACTATTTATTAATCCTATTAGTAAGAAATAACTATTTTTCCATCAAATCTCAGGCAAAAAAAAGAAAATATCAGTAAAATCTACCAATGGCATTTTGACTGACCTCATCAATGACTGGAATCCACAAAACCCATTAGGAACAAAAACAGAGGCAGGAGGAACTGGGAACTAATTTATGAGAGACCCATTGGGATTAAGAAAAAGTGTAAACTAAGTTGTACATTCAAAACAAAAAAATGGGGGCAGCCCAAGTGGCTCAGCGGTTTAGCACCACCTTTGGCCCAGGGTGTGATCCTGGAAACCCGAGATTGAGTCCCACATTGGGCTCCCTGCATGAAGCCTGCTTCTCCCTCTGCATGTGTCTCTGCCTCTCTCTCTCTCTGTGTGTCTCTCATGAGTAAATAAATAAAATCTTTAAAAAGAAAAAAGAAAAAAATGGTTGGATTTCTAAGACTGAGATGGAAGGGCCAAGAAACATAGGAGACTCTGACAAGATGTATAAGGTGAGAAGAATGTCTAATTGGTGTAAGGATTCCAATTTCTGATCTCCCAAAAATAAAGGAAGTGAGTCATCCCACAGTCCACCAAATGGCTGAATAAGGTAAGAGAATGGCTGAGCCACAAGGACTAGAGGGAGTTGGTCTAAGGATCACCAGAAAAAATTGAGGCCTGTGTGTTCTGAATAGAAGGGCCCTTTAAGGTTATTCCTATATGAAGGGATGACCAGAGTGAAGCAGGGACCGGAGCTGCAGGTGTCACAATTACAAGGAAAAGAAGAAAGAAGACCCAGCACAGAAAAGAAAAACCAATGAATTAAGGGGACAAATAAAAAAAGAAAAAAGGTTTTAAGAAAAAACTCTATGGACACAAATGGGTACAACAATATGAGGAAGGCAATGTACAGACGGAAAACCCAATCAGAAGACAGTTAGGAGATGTTCCACTAGTTATCAGAAAAATGAAATCAACAAGAAACAGCCTTATCGCCTATCAAATGGGCCGTGAGAAATCTGATGTGCACCATGCTGGCAAGATGCACAAATGTGGATCCTTGTGCATTCTCCGATAAGAGAGTAAATTAAACCCTACTAAAGAGCAGTATGGTATACTGAGTCACATTATAATAACACTTCTATCCAGAGGTGAGGGAATCCCACTCCTGAGTATTCACCTCTGAGAAATTCTTACACCTGCCCCTAAGGGGCATTTACAAGATAATGTATCAGTGTTAGAAACTGGGAGTCGGGGAAGCCCTGGTGGCGCAGCGGTTTAGCGCCGCCTGCAGCCCAGGGCCTGATCCTGGAGACCCCGGATGGAGTCCCACATCGGGCTTCCTGCATGGAGCCTGCTTCTCCCTCTGCCTGTGTCTCTGCCTCTCTCTCTCTCTCTCTCTGAATGAATAAATAAATAAATCTTTAAAAAAGAAAAAGAAACTGGGAATGGGAGGTGACATACCACCCACCACTGGGGGATGGATAGTGTGGCAGGTTGAATAATGCTCCTCTCAAGATATCCATGTTGGCCAGGAAAAATCACTCACCTCGATGCCTCTGATGTGGGAGGTGAACTTCTCTCATCCATGGCTCCTCTCCTTTTTCCATCCTAGAAATGATCTCTGGTTTGGGAATGTTATACCCTGTTAATGAAAAGAATATTGGATTTGGATGTGGTCTTGGGCTTTACAGGCTATTCAACGAAGCTCTGTGTTGGCTCATCAGAAAAGTCAACATCTTTCACTAGAAACAAAGTAATATTCAAAGGTGTCCTAAAGGAATGAACAATCCAGGACAAATCAAAGGCAAACAGATTACATACTTCAGATGCCCTACTGTGTTCCACAACAAGGAAGGAAATCTCAACGAGGTCCATCCAAGATTCCCGGGTCAGGTGTGCTCACCCACGAAGAGGAGGTGGCTGTAGATCTCCAGCATTACATCCTGGTATAGGCATCTCTGGGCAGGGTCCAGTTGCTGCCACTCCTCCCTGCTGAAGTCCATGGTCACATCCTCAAATGACACTGATCCCTGTAACAACATACCCCACTGTGAATTAGACATTATTGGTGAATACAGAAGTTACATGTAGACTTGTTTTTAATGAGTTTTCACCATGATTTATATTGGCTTTCCACTAACTCCCATTTCATATTGTATTTTGGGGGATTAAAAAAATTTCTAGAAATATCTTGCCATCTACTACATACTTGTGATATTATGCTGGCTTTTATTCCAGTTTTCTGGCATTGAGCTCTTAAACCCTTTATATTTCTCAAGTGATGCAAGTAATAAAGGTGTCTTGTGTTATGTTTAAGATGTGTTTTGGGGGATCCCTGGGTGGCGCAGCGGTTTGGCGCCTGCTTTTAGCCCAGGGCGCGATACTGGAGACCCGGGATTGAATCCCACGTCAGGCTCCTGGTGCATGGAGCCTGCTTCTCCCTCTGCCTGTGTCTCTGCCTCTCTCTCTCTCTCTCTCTCTCTGTTTGACTATAAATTAAAAAAAAATTTTTTTTAATAATAAAAAAAAAGATGTGTTTTGGTAGTGGGGGCCTGGTTGCTAGGGAAACCAACCACATGATTAGAGGGTTACAACTTTCAGCTCCACCCTACCTCCAGGGAGGGAAGAGGTGGAGGTGCAACCAGTTGCCAATGGCCAATGATTCCTTCAGTCATGCTTATGTCATGAAGCCGCCATAAATACGTATTTACCCAAAGGGCAGGGTTTGGATAACTTCCAGGCTGCTGAACCAGATCACTTCCATATGCCCCCTGGCCAGGCCTCAAATTGTATGGGGGACAGAAATTCCTTTAGAATGTTGCCCGATGGATGTCATGTGGCTGTTGATTCTTATCCTTTAATATCCTTTGTAGTGAACCAGTAACCCGTAGTGAGTAAATGGGTTTCCTGAGTTCTGTTAGCTACTCTTGAAAATTAATCAAACCCAAGGAGGGGGTTATGAGAACCTCCAAAAACCAATGAGTCAGAAGCAATGGTGACCAACTGGAGTTGTGATTGGCAGATGAAGTGGGGGGAGAGGTGCTGTCTTGTAGGACTGTGCCCTCAACCTGTGGGATCTGACCCTATTCATGGGTAGATAGTGCCCGAATTGAGTTAAATTTGAGAACAAAAGACCCCAACAATAAGACGATAACAGCTCATGGAGCAGATGTCAACTTCCCAAAATTTTAACCAGACTGGATGACCATGAGGAACAAAATCAGTCAGCACAGCTAGAGATGATGAGCTGGCACAAAATTCAGGAAAATTCATAGAAAAACCCCTGCAACGTGTTTTCATGCTCCTCATTGGCCACCACATCCTGAAGCCACTGCCAGAAACCACAAGCTGCATCCTGCTTGTCTGCTCCTAATGTTGAAGTCTGGGACCTGAGTCTGGTCACCCTTGTTAAGGGTACAGAACTTGTGGGTTTTGCCTATTTAACCCTACATCTTCCCCTTTGGAGCATACTTTCCTTTTATAGCAGAAGGCTGTGGTCACCCCAGTTTGCAAGCTGTAGGCCAATTAAGCTTTCCCATGCCTTGGACCAAATCTTTGCATTCTGGGAATTCCTGCTGACAAATTGTAGGACACCCAGCTGGTATTGCAGAGAAGTGCTTGGTATGGGAAAAAGTCCCACACATTTGGTGACCAGAAGCGCAGCGTTCTGTGCATATAAAGGAGACATGTAGGAAAAGTTATTTTCCAACAGGGAATACTGATATGAGCAAAAGCCAATTCCCTTCCTGGAAGGGTGGGCATTGAAAGCATGTGTGTGCTGGGGGTGGGAGTATATAAGAGCACTCAATGGAAACTCCAAGACAGTTCTTTGCAGTTCTGGACCAAATTCTAACATATATGTGAAAGGAGGGAGAATCCCCTCACACCACCAAGCAGTTCTGCAGTGGGGTGGCCCACAATTCAACTCCGTTCTGACACCATCTACCTGGAGGTGGTGTCAGATCCGAGAGGTGAAGGATCGGTCCTATATGGCTGCCCCACCCCTTCAGGTGCCAGTCACAAGCCCAGGCTGTCACCTGTAGCTCTGACTAGCTGGCATAAATGAGAGGTTCCCACAACCTCCTTCTTGAGCTCAATTAATATGCTAGAGCAGCTCAATCAATTAAGGAAACCCATTTACTCACTAGGATCACCAGTTTATTATGAAAAGATAGTAAAAGATATGGATCAAGAGCCAGATGAAGGGGACGCCTGGGTGGCTCAGCAGTTAAGCATCTGCCTTCGGCTCAGGGCGTGATCCTAGAGTCCTGGAATTGAGTCCCACATCATGGGGAGCCCACTTTTCTACCTCTGCTTGTGTCACTGCCTCTCTCTCTCTTTCTTATGAATAAGTAAAATCTTAAAAAAAAAAGAAAAAGAAAAAGAAAAAAGACCCAAATGAAGAGATGCACAGGGCAAGGTATGTAGGAAGGGAATCAGAGCTTCCATGCCCCCTCCAGGTGAATCACTCTCGGGACAGGGCCATGTGCTCATCAACACAGAAGCTCCCCAAACCCCATCCTTTTGAGTGTTATGGAGGTTTTATTACAGTCATGACTGAATAAATCATAGGCCTTTGGTAAATGAGCCTACCCCCAGCCACTCCCCCCTTCTCTGGAGGTGGGACTGAAGATCCCAACCCTAGGATCAGTGGGTTGGTTTCCTTGGCAACCCCCCGCCCCAGTAGGGTTTCCAAAATTCACCTTATTTACATAAACCCAGTTGTGGAAAGAGGTCTGTTATAAACAAGACACACACTTCACCTTTAGGGCTCTGAAGCATTTTCCCCCCCAGGAACTGATGACAAGACCAAATACTGTGACAAAATATAATGCTCCTGCTTATAGCTCAGGAAATTCCTGAGAGAGATTTGGGGAGCTGTGAGCCAGGAACCCTGGATGACGAACTAATATACAGGTTTCTCATAAATCTCCTATCACATAGCTTTGTAAGGGGGTCATTAAAAGTTTAGGAGGCAAATACCAAAACATTTAGTTATTGGGGTAAAAACTGATTGATATTGAGGAGAAAGACATTGTTGACCATGGTTATTTTGGGTTTGTTTAAGCTGAACATGTGATTTTATGGAGAACAGTGAAATAGGTTACACCTTCTTGCTACATCAAGCTCATACTGTGTCAGACAATTTTGATCATTTGCCAGAGTGCTGCTTGCAAAGACACCTGTTTTTGTTCATAAGCCTAGCAAAACAATCTTTCTTTTCTATGTACTAATAAAACTAAAACTACTTGCAAAGGAATAAAGTGGCAAAAATTTTACAAATATATGCAGAGACAGGTTATTAGTATTATAAAATATATTTGAAAACCAGAGGCTGGGGCACCTGGGTGGCTTAATTGGTTAAGCAGCTGCCTTGGGCTCAGATCATGATCTCAGGGTCCTGGATCCTGCTCAGTGGGAAGTCTCTTTCACCCTGCTCTCAAATAAATAAATAAAATTAAAAATAAATAAATAAAAATAAAAGATTTTATTTATTTGAGAATGAAAGTGGGAGAGTACACAAACAGGGTGGGGGCTGGAGGGAGAGGGAGAAGCAGACTCCACACTGAGCAGGGAGCCTGATATGGGGCTCTGATCCCAGGACCCTGAGATCATGGCCTGAGCAGAGGGCAGATGTTTATCTGACTGAGCCACCCAGGTTCCTCTAACCTTCAATTTTTAAAAAAAAGACCAATACAACAGAAAAATGTAAAGTACAAATTAAAGCAACAATAGCATACTATTTATTTTTTATTTATTTTTTTATTTATTTATGAGAGAGAGAGAGAGAGAGAGAGAGAGAGAGAGAGGCAGAGACATAGGCAGAGGGAGAAGCAGGCTCCATGCACCGGGAGCCCGACGTGGGATTCGATCCCGGGTCTCCAGGATCGCGCCCTGGGCCAAAGGCAGGCGCGCTAAACCGCTGCGCCACCCAGGGATCCCCATACTATTTATTTTTTATCAAATTCACAGGGTTATGGGGATCCCTCAACGGTTTAGCGCCTGCCTTTGGCCCAGGGCATGATCCTGGGGTCCCAGGATCCAGTCCCGGATCAGGCTCCTTGCATGGAGCCTGCTTCTCTCTCTGCCTCTCTCTCATGAATAAATAAATAAAATCTTAAAAAAAAAAAAATTCACAGGGTTGTAAAGTACAAAATAACAACATACAGTATTGGCCAAAAGAGGGCAGACTAGGTGAATGCTGGCAGCAAATATTCTAACATGAACAGAAAAGCTGACTGAAAAGGTGAATTAGCAAAGGAGTTATCTAATGAAATGGCAAAATGAAAACCAGGCCAAGCAGACAAAATGATTTTCATCATAAAAAAGGGAATGAGCTAATAGGAAGTAACCTATATCGTAACATCCACTTGAACATGCTTTCAATCACATTCTTAACAATTCAACCCATGTCAACACAAAAGTAAAGGCACTTTCCTACAATGTTTATGGGCTTGTGTCTCCTCTCCAACCTCCTCCCACCCCCAAAATTCTTATGCCGAGGTCCTAACACCCAGTACCTCAAAATGTGCCTGTATTTGGAAACATGGTCTTTTAAAAAAATGTTTTTAAAGATTTATTTATTTATTCATGAGAGACACAGAGGCAGAGACACAGGCAGAGGGAGAAGCAGGCTCCTCACAGGGAGCCCAATGCAGGACTTGATCCCAGGACCCCAGAATCACACAGAGCCAAAGGCAGACACTCAACCATTGAGCCACACAGGCATCCCTGGAAACATGGTCTTTAATAAGTTCAAATGAAGTCAGTAGGTGGGCCCTATTCCAGGGGTCCTTATAAGAAAAGTAGATTAAGGGATATCTGGGTGGCTCAATGGGTTGAGCACTTGCCTTTGGCTTAGGGTGTGATCCCCCGTCTTCCCCAGGGAAGATCATGTGTACGGACAGAGAGGTCCATCTACAAGCCAAGGAGAAACCACAACCACAAAAGGAACAACCCTGCTGACACTTTGATCTTGGATTTCTAGCCTCTAGCACTATGAGAAAATAAATTTCTGTTTAAGCCACCCAATTGGTGGTACTTTTATAGCAGCCCTAGAAAACTAACATTGTCACACAACAAGGTTTCAACATTTTGTTTCAAATTTGGGTGTTTTACATTTGCATTTTAAGAATGACTTTTAGGGGCACCTGGGTGGCTCAGTTAAGTGTCTGCCTTCTGCTCAGGTCATGATCCCAGGTCCTGGGATCAAACCTTGCATCAGGCTCCCTGCTCAGTAGGGAGTATGTTTGTCCCTCTCTCTCTGCCCTTTCACCCACTTGTGTGCTCACTCTCTCTCAAATAAATAAAAACTTAAAAAAAAAATGAATGACTTTTAAATTTTTTTTTTAATTTTTATTTATTTATGATAGTCACACAGAGAGAGAGAGAGGCAGAGACATAGGCAGAGGGAGAAGCAGGCTCCATGCACCGGGAGCCCGATGTGGGATTCGATCCCGGGTCTCCAGGATCGCGCCCTGGGCCAAAGGCAGGCGCCAAACCGCTGCGCCACCCAGGGATCCCTGAATGACTTTTAAATACTTGTGGTGTATCTTTTAATTTTTAAATGATTTTTACTTGGCATTTACTGTAATAGTTTAATGTTCCTTTCTTTCAATGTTTTCTGTTAAATGTTTCTGTCAGGTGGAGATGACTTTAAACATTACTGAAATATGTAATTTCACAATGCACCAGTTCACAATGGTAATAAACCATGCACTTATTATACTTTTTAAAAACAGAGTATCTCTCTGTAATTTTGATTATAAACCTATCACAGGTCAACAATTGTTATTGTTAACAAATATCATTGTTTTCAAACATACAATGTCTTTAAATACAGACTAGAGGTACCTGGGTGACTCAAGTTATAATCTCGGGGTCCTGGAATTGAGTCCTGAGTGAGTTCTGTGTTCAGTGGGGAGTCTGCTTGTCCCTCTGCCCCTACCCCCACTCATATGTACACTCTCACTCTTAAATAAAATCTTTAATAAACAAATAAATAAATATACAGACTAACTTGGAATTTCAGCAAATCTTGAGTATACCCAAGAATCTTCCTTTCTCCCTCCCCAGTATCAAATATTTTATCTATGGGCAATTTGGAAACATCATTCTCTGGCATTTTCATTCATCTTTTAAAATATGAAAAACCACACATGTGCTTAAAACAGTTTTTGCTCTAGTATCCCATGATTCTAAAACCATGAGGACAGAGCGGAAAGGAGACAACCCCCACCAGGCAGGTAAGAAAGTCAGAAGGGGACCAGCTGATAATATGCAAAGACCCAATGGTGGATGAAGGATCTCTGGAGCTGAGCAGTCAGGAGTTAGCATTTCTCTGCCAGGGACTGGGGCTTCCCACCCAGATCAGGGGCTACCTTTTCTTCTTCCTTTGCCCCAGGGCCAACCCCTCTACAACATACCTTCCTCTACAGTTTCCTCTATTATACAGGTCTGTGAAAGAGGGGACATCAGTCCCCCTCCAGAGTCTGCTCTCAGCAGGAAGATGCACATGGTCTCAGCCACAGTGAGTCCAGAATCTGCTGCTTCTTGTGTCTGCCCTCAGGTTCTGGAAAACTGTCCCTGGGGCTGCTCCTGCTTACCTCACATGGTCCATCCTGCTCCTGTGGACTCAGGACCTGGGATCTTTGGGGCCAATTCTCTTTGGCAGGCATGTCTCCCCTGTGCTTCACTTCCCGGTTTCTCTTGCTGACAGCTCCACTTTTTTCAGGATCCTGAAGCTCGGTGGGCATCTAGAAGCTTCAATCTGAGCTGCTGGGGAAAGTCTGGCTGGGCTGTGAAGACCTGCAGCCTCAATGATGTGGTCTGACCCAGGGGCCCTGCAAAGCCAGGAAGTCCTGGAAAGGCAATGGCCCACATGGTCACTCCTCTAACAGTTGCTCTATACAAGTATGGTTCTGAGGATCCTTAGGGGAAGGCCACTATGCTAGACCCTATGGAATAAAAGTTCAGAAGAACCCAACCAGTTATTAATCAGGGTAAAATAAAAGATGAAGAGTTCTGGGGCGCTTGGGTGGCTCAGTCAGTTTAGCAGCCGACTCTTGATTTTGGCTCAGGTCATGATCTTGGGGTCCTGGGATTGAGCCCCAAGTCAGGCTATGGACTCAGCGGGGAGTCTGCTTTGGGATTCTATCTCTCCCTCTGTCCCTCCCTGCCCTCACTCTAAAATAAGGAAATAAATCTTAAAACAAACAAACAAAATACAAAGTATTTGGAATACGTGAAGGTTTTTTTTTTAAAAATATTTTATTTATTTTTCATGAGAGACACAGAGAGAAAGAGGGAGAGACAGGAAGAGGGAGAAGCAGGCTCCATACAGGGAGCCCGATGTGGGACTCGATCCCAGGACTTCAGGATTACGCCCTGGACCGAAGGCAGGCGCTCAACCGCTGAGCCATCCAGGGACCCCCTACATGAAGGTTTTAATTGTAGCTCTGCCACCTTTAAGCTTTGAGAACATGAAGATAATACTTTAACTGTAGTCTCCAAAATGAGGATGCAAGTTTTTATCACAGGCATCGGGAAAGACATGTGACTTATCAAACTGTCAGCATATGTCCCGGCATGTGGTAAACACCCTGTTCAATTTTCACATAACACTGTCCACTAAACATTACGATCATTATTATGCCCATTTTGTGGATGAGGATACTTAAGCTCTTACACCCTTGCCTTATGGTCTCAGCAGAGGGGAGAAAAGATAATCAATCCTTCCTCTGCCTTGTTCCAAACTGCACAGTTGTCTCTATCTCATGTGGTCCCCTATGTACATGGTCAGCTTCCATAAACACCATTTCCATTTCCTGTTGCCTTTACAGAACAGGGTCTCTGAGGTAGCCTTGCTGATATGCTGGTCCAAGCTTCTGGACATTTCAGTTCCCATCCAGAATCCCTTGACAGCCCAGGCTTTTCTTTTTTAAATATTTTATTTTGGGGGCACCTGGGTGGCTCAATGGTTGAGCGTATGCCTTTGGCTCAGGTCATGATCCCTGTGTCCTAGGATAGAGTCCCACATCGGGCTCCCTGTAGGGAGGTTGCTTCTCCTTCCACCTATGTCTCTGCCTCTCTCTGTATGTCTCATAAATAAATAAAAATAATAAATATATATTTAATTTTTAAGTAATCTCTACAGCCAACGTGGGGCTCGAACTTAAATTTCCAGATCAAAAGTCACACGCTCCACCGACTGAGCAGCTAGGTGCCCCATAACAAAGATAAAACTTAAATTTACTGTCCTCAACGCCCACCATCACCTGGAAAACCTGCAGACATGCAGCAGGACCTCCAATCACTTACCATGTCTTGACTGTACATCATGAATTGCCTCCCAACACCACACTTACCCAAACGCAGTTCACCTACAGCACTGACCTCCAGATATCCCCAAGGAGTGGACCACAGGACTGCCTGAAGGTCACGGAATGCCTCCCTGTCTCAGACACAGCCAGGCTACGCTGGCTGCCAATGTTTCCCAGGGAGTGGGATTTCCACAGAACCTGGAATAATCCCGAACACGGGGCTCCAATTGATGCACCCCAAAAGGAAATCATCCTCCATCTGCTCAAGTGCCAGTTACTGACCCTTGCCACTTTCCACAGGGAGCTAAGGAGGAGGCCTCAGAAAACCCCATAACGGACCTCCCAGCCAGACCTGCAGTCCATCGGCTCCCATTCGCTGCCCTTAGGACCCTTCTGAGTTCTGTAGGTCCCCCACACTGCTTCCTGATGTTACAAGGGGCCCCTCGAAGTCCTCCCATCCCTGAAGCTCCTACTCCCAGTCAGTCACTGCCTGCAGTCTCTCCCCGAACCGGCACGGTTCCACCTACTACGGCTGCTCCAGAAGCACGTTCGCCGTCCTCAGGTGAACAAGTCTAAAGGACCGACACTACGAGATCTGATATCAGAACACACCTGGAGTTAAGTTCCCACAATACTTACACACACACACACGAAATAGGCAAAAGCCTGAAAAGGACCGAACCAATCACCCAACTCAGAGAAGCCGCCACCAATCTCACAGCCCCCCTCACTAAGGGCCCCATCACTCACACCGCAAACCCTCGTCACTCGTCCCCCACGCCACCGACACTCACAGACCCCACAGAATCTCCACTGCTAATATCCCAAATCACCTCAGCCTCCCACACGGATGACGGACTGGCCAGAGCCACTCAAAGCTAAAGCGAAATGGCCGTGCCGAGCTACTTCCGGTCTGGGTTATAGTCCCGGCCACATTTCTCAGCGCGCCGGAGTATGAGCGGTGCGCATGCTCGGTAGGAGCCGTGAAGCCACACCCTGCCAATAGTTATCATGGTGTGTGTGTGTGTGTGTGTGTGTGTGTGTGTGTGTGTGTGTGTGTGTGTGTGTGTGTGTGTGTGTGTGTGTGCGTACGTACATTTTCTTTCGGGGACTGTCAAGCGAGCGGCATGGCTGCGTTCCTAAGGACTATGACAACACTTCTGGGAGGCCCGCCATTTTCCAAGAACATCCGTTCCGTACAGCCAGGGAAGGCATTTGCGATCTCACAAAGTCTTGGGGTCCGTCCCACTTTGGCAGGAGATCTCTTACATACTTGTTTCTAGATGTGTTTCTAGGAGAAACTGCCATTGCGCTTCCTGGAAAATACCATTCCTCTGTATTTTCACACTGATTTAAAACCCTGCACCAGAATCCAGGTGTTCTGTCCCTTCCTCCCTACCACGACCCACCCACCGTGCAGAGAGACGCTAATGGGATAGGAGCCACTCCCCAGTGCGCTGCCGGTGAGAGAAGAGACAAAGCCAGACCCAGTGTTCAGAAGTAGTTTCTTTATTTATAAGTTCTGCAGCCATTTACTGCAGTAGGTATCATAGTTAAGCACAAAGATTCTGGAGCTGGGCTGCCTGGGTTTGAAGCCAGATGTTTACGTTTGGGCAAGTTATTTAACCTCTCTGTACTTAAATTTCCTATTACATAAAGTTGTGAAGATTAAATAATTAAATATATTATCATAGGCAGAATGTTTAAAACAGTGCTGTGATGTAATGAGAATGAACTGCTAGGTGAGAAAAACATTCTATTTCTTTCATTCATTCAAGAGATTATTGGGTTCCTATGGTATTCCCAAGAAAAAATTGTTTAAGGTCATTGTTTGTGTAACCGAAAGAACTGGAGTTCCTTGGTGAGTCACAGATAGAAACTGATGTGATTTGAAGTAGGATTCGATTGTGGAAGGTCAAGAAAGAACTCTTGAGGCGTTTTCAGTGTAAAAAATAGTGGTTTTATTAAAGCACGGGGACAGGACCCATGGGCAGAAAGAGGTGCACTGGGATTGTAAAGAGCAATAGATTATATCGTTTGGATTTGGGGGAGGTAAAGACAAAGGAAGTTTCCAAAAGGATTTTCATATGCTAAAGAAGACTTAGAGGATCCCGTAGACCTGACTACAGCCAAGGTTGTTTTTTACCCTCTAGCAAGGCATTAACTTTACGACAGTTGGGAATTCCTGGAAGGGTGGCATACTCTCCTTGCCTCAAGTATTTGTCCATGGGCTGCCAGTTATAAGGAATTTAATTTTATCTGCATTTCCTTTTGTGTTTGTTTTCCAAGTCAGAAACTACACCACAAGGAATTGTCACAGAAAGAAACTTTCTTTCAGCAAAGGACAGAACTTCCAAAACTGACTTCCCAAGCAGGAGTAAATAGGCTCCTTTTATTTAGAGTTAGGATGAATACTTTAAAAGGAGAGCTTTGTGGGGCACCTGGGTGGCTCAGGTGGTTAAGCATCAGACTTTTGGTTTCTTAGGCTCAAGTCATGATCTCAGGGTTGTGAGATCCACCCCATGCTGGGCTCCGTGCTCAACTCTGCCCCTCCTCTGCTTTCTCTCTCCCTCTCAAATAAGTAAATAAATCTTTTTTAAAGTCTATTATTGGGGATCCCTGGGTGGCTCAGCGGTTTAGCATCTGCCTTTGGCCCAGGGTGTGATCCTGGAGTCCCGGGATCGAGTTCCGGGATCGAGTCCCACATTACTCTCCCTGCGTGGAGCCTACTTCTCCCTCTGCCTCTGTTTCTGCCTCTCTCTCTCTCTGTGTCTCTCATGAATAAATGAAACAAATTTTAAAGTCTATTATTTAAAAATTCAATGATGTACATAAATCCATTATTTACAAATATGCACTAATATATATTCATTTCATGTAAATTATCCACAATAAAAAAATGAAACAAGACACAGGCAATGACATATAATATGATTACTTTTATAAAAAGTTCAAAAATAGGTTTATCTGAACTATACTTTTCAGGGATACGTTATAAAAACAATAAAGAAAATGTAAAAATGGTTAATATAAAAGCGAGGAGCATGGATACTTTCAGGAGGGATATACAGAGTGTTGTGATCAGAGACACACAGAGAGGACATCTGGAAGGTGGTCATCAATCTCTTATTTGATCTGTGTTGTGTTTACACATGTTGGCTGTAGAGAATACTAAAACTAAGTAAACTTAAAAAAACACATTTTATTTATTTGAGAGAGAGAGTGAGAAAGAGAGAGAGAGAGCACAAGCAGGGGGAAGGGGTTGAGGGAGAAGCAGACTCCCCGCTGAGCAGAGAGCTTGACCTAGGCTGGGCTCAATCTCCAACCCCGAGATCATGACCTGAGCTGAAAGCAGATGCTTAACTGACTGAGCCACCCAGGTGCCCCTAAAATTAAATAAACTTTCAAAAATATTATTCTCTAATAAAATAAAGCCTAAAAATAAAAAATATTATTCTCTAAGGCAAATAATAAGAATGAGATTAGTATCTTTAGAGAGGTTAATAAGGAAACTTAAAGGTCCCTCTGTGTAAATTCTATGAATAGATAATTCACAAAGAAGGATTACAGTTAATGAAAAAGAAAGAGATGAGAAAAGTTGTTTTTAATCACATCAATGCAAAATGAAGTATATAACACCATTTCTTGGATCTTGAATTAACAACGTGAGAAAAGTCAATCGTAAAGGCACTCTTTTTTTTCTTTTATTAAAGATTTTATTTATTTGACAAACAGAGAGAGAGAGAGAGAGCACAAGCAGGGGGAGCAGCAGGCAGAGGGAGAGGAAGAAGCAGGCTCCCTGCTGAGCAGGAAGCCAGACATGGGGCTCAATCTCAGGACCCTGGGTTCACGACTAGAGCTGAAGGCAAGTGCTTAACCAACTGAGCCACCCATGTACCCCCATATAGGGGACTCTCAATGTGTTTTTGGGAGATTTAAATGAGTAGGGCACTTTTGGAAAATGTCAGGTTGGCTTCATATGGAACTGGAAGAATCATCGACTCCACTCCCCATATGATGTAACAATAAGAAATGCAGGGACACCTGAGTAGCTCAGTGGTTGAGCATCTGCCTTCAGCTCAGGGTGTGATCCTGTTCCCCCAGGACTGAGTCCCACATCAGACTCCCTGCATTATGGAGTCTGCTTCTTCCTCTGCCTGTGTCTCTGTCTCTCTCTGTGTATCTCTCATGAATAAATAAATAAAATAAAATCTTTTTTAAAAATGAGAAATGCATTTTGCTTTAAGTTACAAGAAGGCAGACTTTCAGGGACCTTAATACATGGGGCTTTATTTTTCTAACATAACACGAAGTCTAGAGATGGGCTGCTATGGTCTTTGATTCAGTGGTTTGGCAGAGCCCACTGGACTTTCTGCGGGGTAGAGAAGGAGGAGGGAGAGGAGCGGGCTCCCTCCCGGTTTTCTCACTCCTAGGCCGGTCCGGTCCTGACTCAGCCGTTTTCCTGGGCTGAGACTTCAGCACAGCCCAGTTATTCCAGAACTCGGACCGAATTCTGCTTCAGCACCACGGACAGCGCCACCTCTAATTTCGGCGGCTTGACTGGAGAGAAGGCTCCCACTGTGGGCAGACGCGATGGGAGAATCGGGAAGGCTTGCGGGCTGACAGATATGAACAGGATAAGTGCCCCCCAGTCCAGCTCTGCCCTTCCCAGTCTCCTTGCCACCCCCGGGAGTTAGGGCATTATGTGCAGTCATAACCTCAGTGTGGAACTGCTCACATACACTTGGGTTCTTGCCTCTCAGGGCTGATTACACTCCCAATCTCTTCAGAGATCCCTCCGTCTGGGATAAACCTTTATCCTCTCTCCAACAAGCTTATCTCTTCCTCCCTGCTTC